TCGCCCTGGTCACATGTGTGAATTATAATTTCGCATTCGGCGTCGCGCTCAAAAGCATGCAACGAGACCAGCAAAAATGTGCTAAATAAAAACTGAACGGCAATGAGATACCCTGTATACTGTTTCAGATGGTTGTCAAACGTTAAGTTCTTAAATATTCATTGAACGCATCGAAAAGTATAAATTATATTTTCTTTGAATAAGTTGATGACTTTTGTATATTCTAAGAACCCTTTACATAATATTTTTTAAAATGTTTATGGAATCGAATACTTTCTAAAACAAACTACGTTTGCATATCAGAGAGTCTGGACTCCAATTTTGTGGTCTATTTATTATTTGCCAGAACCTAAGCTACCCTCTCAGACTCACAAAACACAGGGTATACAAAACAAGAAATACAAAACACAAACACACACACACACATACAGACGCACACGCACACGCACACAGATAGAAGTGCCAGGCGCATAATAAGAAGAAAGCAAAAGCCGCCGTTTCCATCGCATTCGCCGCCATCGCATTTCCATTTCGCGCCGGGGCTTTTGCTTATCACTGGGGCTGTCAAGTGCCCAGCATCCTACCCCGCTCCCACTCTCCCACTCTCCCTCTCTCTCTCTCTCTATCGCTCTCTCACTCTCTGCTTTGGGAAGCAACGCAGCTCGCGCTTTTTGCAATAATTCAATTCATTTTCTATTTTTTGACTTATTTTCATCTGACGGCGTCGAAAAAGCAAAAAAAAATAAAAGTTGTTTCACATTCATCGTTCGGCGGCTTCAAGTGCTCGCTTGATACGATACGTTAAGGGCTGGAGTCGAGGGGCGGTGGCTCATGTGTGCTCCTGATGCTTCTGTCCGGCACTGTCCAGAGTTCTGCCCGAGTGGCGTGGCTATAAATTTGGCGCGTTACCTTTTGTGAGCATTTGTGTTGCATATGTTGAGGCGCCTCGCAACTGAGATGTTAACGCAAAGAGGCAGCCCCGATTGGGCAGACAATAGCCCTAGTAATGACGAATTCTACACGTACGCCTGGAAATGTGTACAAGTTTATATGAAAATCAATGGAAATTGAAAATAACAACTTCAGCGGAAATTAAGGCGAATGAATATCTTGTTGATGAGGTATTATTTAAAAATGTTATTCTCTAAGAAATGCTCTGTAGTTAGTAAAAGGTCTTTTGTACTGCTTGAAAAATAGTATTTAATCGAGCTTTCTTCGAGAAAATAAATTGCCTTTATCTTAAAATTACAACATTCATAGCCAATGTAGTTCGTTTTATGTCCATAGAGTTTACACTTTCAAAGCCTTGGACCTCTTTTTTGTATATTCTTATTCCAGTGAAGAGAATGTGTGAGATTTCTAAAGCTGAAATCCTTTTCTATTCAGGTTAGCTCATGTGCAACGAGTGTATTCCAGGAATTTGGCATTCCATGCTGCTGCAGTCATCAGTTATGGCAAGCCTCTGCTCGAGGACTCGCATCAACAACCTGAAGTCCTTGCGTGTGGCGAGATGTTATTTTCACTGCTCGAGTGTGCTACATTCTGCTGGTCAGCTGGCATCTCTTCATCTATTTGGCTACAGTTCGTTCGTAACTTAGCTTTTGAGGGGCCTTTCAGCGCTATGCAGGCACATATAATTTTTGGCTGCCCAAAGTATATTAATGCACATATCTGGGCAAATGTTTGCAAGTGAATGACATCTCTCAATAGGTTTCAGTTGCAGCAGAGTACAACATCCAGCAAGAGAGTCCATGACACTGCCCTGCTGCAACACCCCCCCCCCCCCCCCCTCTACCTAACTCCCCCATCTCCCGCTCTGACTGACATCATACTAAATCAGTTTTTAATTTCCGCTCATTTGCGAAACTGCTGCGACTGCTGCAACAATAACCAACGTCAGCGCCTCATTATATGCCCCGTTTTGTTCGGCAACTCTGATGCCGCGGGCGCAGCCACTCCCCGCACATAGTGGCAGGCAGCGCCTCCTGGGCTGTGGACTCACTCTACCATTCAATTGAGCGTGTGTAAATATGTTGAAAAGTTAATTCATTGCACATCAGTGCATCAGCCAGCCCCCTCCCCAGCCCCGACCCAACTACTACTGGCTGGCATATAGTGACTGTCAGCGTCGTCGGCGGTTGCCGTCTGTTTGCATAAAGGACATGCATACAGGACATTTACGTTGGCTGCTTTTCATTTTTTCCCCCCTTTTTTTTTGTTTTTGTAGCTTTTCACCTTTTTTTTTTCTTTTTTGCACTCGTTCAATGTGTGTGTCATAAATTTAGTTCGATTTGCTGTTCAACGGCATTAACTTGCTCGTCCTCACCGGGTGGCAACAACTATCGAGAGTCCTGTTTGCGCACTGGCAACCGCTCCAGCTCCTGGTGTTTTAATGAATTTTGCTGTCCTGGCCAGAGCCCAGCACCTGCTTAAGTAGTTGCGGGTGCTTGTGTTTTCCCATTGCCGTTGTCGTCCCCAATTAATGTCAATTTTCATATTCGCTACCCAAATCCCAGACGAGTGTATTAGTTTTTTGCAATGTCCGAGTTGCTTTCAATTCGTATTAGCGTAGTTATTGGTACAAAGCAAAAAAAGTCCTCAAATTTTGAAGGCTTCATTACCAACGAATGATCCAAGGTCAGTGCAAAAATCATTATAAAAGTTCATATCAACATCAAGTTTTTGTATGTTAAAGTCTGAAGGTCACCAATCCTTGCATTAAGTAGACTCTTTTCGACTTATGCAACCGGCAAACAGAGTATTACGCAGTCGGTTTCAGCTACGTGCAGCGTTTTTTACTTGTTTTAATGTAGTTTTAGCACGCGGCAATGAAATTTATCAAGCGCTTAATTATTGTCCTGGCATATGGCAAATGTCGTTGCATACTTATTGCAGTCAATTTTGTAATAGATGGAAATTAGACAGGACACGTTTTAGTGTGTGTGGATAGATGATAAAGCGCAGCATTTATAGGCGGTGATTTTTATAGTAGAAAAACATACATACAAAAAAGAGAATTGAATGAATTATGGTTTAAACTACGCAGCAAAAAGCGAAAAATCAGTTATCGACGGTCGATTAAAAGCATCCATATGTGATACTATAAAATTCAAGCTGTAAGCCCGCTTTGGAATGTGAAACAATAAATTGTTTTCTATAAAGTCATATATTTAAAATATTTTTTGCGGATACGAAGCGCTTGCTTGAGGTTTTCTTAATCCTGGGATATACAAATTATTGTCAAGGAGCTAACAAAAATGTAAATAAAATACGATTGGGATGAAATATACTTATCAACCAATAAAGTTTGAAGTTTAAAAATAGTTGTAAAATTATAAAATTAATTTGAAAATATTTATTGTGATTTATTTATGTTATACAGTAAAAAGAATTACTGCTTATTTTGTTTTTTGTTTGTTTAAATATTATTGAAATACGAGAGCATATAAAATACTAAATTCAAATTCGTTGGTCTTATGTGATTACCTGTAAGCCCTATGCTCAATCGCATTGCAAACAAAACCTTCATTTAGTTTGGTTTCCATTGGTTCGGCGAGCATCTAACGCCCCCATAAAAATTCATTTAATTATCACTGTGGCCAACAAATTTCTATTTGCATTTATTCCTTGCACATTTAACACTTTTTCTGTACTGTCACGTTCGCTGCTTATTTTTATTGCTTTTTGCTGTGCTTTTTTCTGTTTTTTTCATTTCTGCTTTTTATTTTGTTTTTGGGTTGTTATTTTGCACTACAATTATGTTAATTTCCTATGCAAATAAAATTTAATTGAAGCTCTGGCCAGGGCACGTCGCGGCCCACGACGCCGGAGACGCCAGCAACCCGCACTTAGGCAACTGCGACGCCCTGGCATTAATGTGGCGCCTCTTCCCGCCCACATTTCCTGGCCACACGGGCGCGTTCTACCGCCGGTTCCTGCTGGACTTGCAGCACATTTAGAGAGCGTTGCCAGCATTAATTGCCAATAATTATATTGGTTTACCTTTCTATTTTCTTCTTTTTTTTTATAAATATTTTCTCTATGGTGTTCTGTTTACCCAGAGGCAAGTTCCTTCTTTAAATAACAAATGCTTCGATGGGCAGCGCGCAAAGAGTTTGCGGAATATTTAAGGGCTTTAGCTGCAGACATTTTTATTTAAAAAGGATTTCTTGAACTCTCATATTTATATATTCAAATAATGATCAAATATATTTATTATATCTTCTATTCTAACTAAGCATTGTAATTTTGAGCGTAAAAACACATTTCGATCTTTTAAAAAACATTTTATGTAGACTCTGCAAATTAAACTGAACGTCTTCGAGCTGATGAGCTTCAACAACTTAACTAAAATAAAGAGACGTTCCTTAATTAATTGAATTTGTAATTCCCTAATGTCCTTCAAGCTATATGCCTCTATTTAAATGCCCACACACTCACACACAAATTGGCAATTGCAAGCAATTAAATTTGCATAAATTGCGCTAGAGCCCCTGCAAGCAGGAAACACAATAAGTGTCAAACAATAAAAGTGCGTTGACAATTACAACAAAAATTAAATTAACTTATTAACTCATATAGCCCCCATGTGATATATTTAAACATGTAAATGAACACTCGGCAGAGCTGACAAAATGTAATATAATACGAGTAAATGCCGCGGCTGTCGCTTAAATAATAATCCAATCAGCAAACATTTGGACCCCTGCGGCACAATGGCCGCCTAACGTATGAGGTACGGGGGGGGCTGGGCGTGGTCAAACAATTGACAGTGCTGTGGATTATGTAATTACCAAATGCGCAAATATAATTTAATAAAAGCAATCACGGCGCACAATTCATTGGCTGTGCCGTGATTTATGCTGCACGCGGCGTATGCGTAATATTCTGTAGGTTCCCACGCAGTTGCTCTTGTTATGCAATAGTTTTGCCCAGCTTTAAGTGCTTTTAAATGCTTTAAGCTCATAACTAATTATCAACTTTATTCACTTTGGTTGCAGGACTACGACAAGGAGATCAGCTGCCACAAGATACATTCGCCTAGCAGCAGCAGCCACGCCCACCACCCCTTGCATCACCAGCATCACCAGCAGCAACATCATCAGCAGCAGCAGCAGCACATAGCGCTCCACCACCACAACCACAACAACAACAACGAGGATGACATGGAGCCAACACTGCTCTCGCCCGCACACTCCACCCACTCAGCCTACGACTCCAAGGAGCATGTCAAGGAGCTGGAGTTCTATAAGAATCTCGCGGCCAAGGCTGCCTCGCTGGCCAACCAGCAGCGCGATACGAACTCTGCCTCGCCCCTGCCCATGCAAATCGATGCGGATGAGGACGAAGCGGAGGATCAGACCGCCGAGGCGTTGCGTCTGCGATGCGAGGAGCAGGCCCAGGCCAAGGCATTTGCGGCACATCTAAATGGAACTAGTGAGTACATATCGAAAACCAAACTTTAAACGCTAAGCAACAGAGATGGAAACAATTATATATAGCTGCATAAATATGCTAAACAACTAGGATATTGGCTTATTGACTGCGAGACACACTGTCCTCAGCGGTGAATCGAATTAAATATCTCCAAACTCATATTGGATCTTGATGATGTTTTAGGAGCATAATTATGAAATTTGTAGTGCAACATCTTGATGAAACACACATTAAATATGTTGAAATTGTGATGCTAAATTCCAAATTAAATATCTCGCTTTAAAAGCATCTGAGAACGGGCATACTGGGATACAGAGAGTCAGCTAGCTAAATCGACTTGGCTCCTGATGCTTAAGCTCTTTCTCTCCCTGTTACAAAAATGTACACAAACCCATATATATGGGTATATATATATATATATATATGAATGAGCTCCGCTATATATTTACTTACGGCTGGTAAATTCAGAATTTAATTGAAAAAGTATTAAAATTACATTAATTGTTGCATTGATGATAACATGCAAATTCATTCAAATTTTAGTGCTAAGAGTTTTTATCTAATTCCTAATTAAACTACAGACTAAAAAGTGATAGTTTCCATCCCTGAATAACACGTTCACACACTGGCAGCCCTTCGATAGAGCTAACTGGCAATTAGTGCTGGCAGCTTTTAGGGCTGCTTCACCACATTCAAGAGCTCCGTTTGACATTTCTGCTAATTTTGCAACTGCTTCACCAAAAACTAATGAAAACATTTTCCGTGTACCTTTCTGTTTATCTCCCACTCGAACCAACAGTGCAAGACATGATAAATTTGCAAAAATTACAAAATTTGGCCACACTGCAACAACAGCAACATCAGCATCAGCAACAACAGCAACAACACCAGCAGCAGCAGCAGCAGCAACAACATCCGCATTCACATCATTCCCATCATCATCCCGCCACGGCTGCCGCACTGGCAAGTCTTCAGGGCTTAGCCGCCTCCGTGTTCAACTCACCATTGAATCTGAGCGTTGGCGCAGAGGCTGTGACAGCAACAACAACAGCAGCAGCAGCAGCAGCTGGTGGAGTCACCTCAACGTCCGCAGCAGCAGCTGCTGCTACAGCGAAAGCAGCGAGTACCTCGCCCAGCAACAGCAACAACAACAACAACAGCTGCCACAACGGCAACAAGCACAAGACGTCAAAGGGCAACAGCAACAACAACAGCAACAGCAGCGCAGCCGGCAACTCCTCCAGCCAGCAGCCGCAGGATAATCCCAGCAGCAGCAGCTCACCACATGCCCATGCCCATGCCCTCAACGCGACGACGCTGGCCAATGTGTTGGCTGCAGCGACCGCATCGCCACCGCCAGCGCTCCAAGCGCCGCCGGCGAGCGCGCAGATGCCGCAACTGATACTCGCCTCCGGGCAGCTGGTGCAGGGTGTCCAGGGTGCTCAGCTACTCATACCTACAGCTCAAGGTGGGTACACACACACACATACATGCACAGGATGTGTGCGCAGGGGATTAGTTTTAGTTGTGTTGGGTATCAATAACATAGTTGACTTCACTTGACTTTGGCTTATATCGCAGTCAAAGTCGGTGGCTGGCCGCGTCTATTAAAGCCACAGCTAAAGCGATTTGGCAATTTTCAATTTCCTTGATTTAGCAACCCATTTGGGCAGTTCCGAGATGAGTTTCAAGTTAGGATTAACGTTCATTTTAAAGATATATTTAACAATTAAAGTGCTTTGATCTCAACTGTAGAGAAATTATTTTTGCATGCAGCAAAAGGAGTATTAGAGATCATTAGTAGAGTAGAGAATACGTAATTTGCTAGAAATACGCCCCGAGAATATGCGCTCCTCTCTGTAAGATCGACAAACTAAGCTGCTTACCATTACCATAGTATTTTTGTATTTATAAAGCATATAGAATTCATGTGAATATCAATTTTTGCCTAAAAGTACATTAGTTTTTTTTTCAAATTAATCATGTTCCATACTCCGTAAACATTTACAAATTTCAGTTTTGTTCGCCTAATAAACTCAGTAGCTGCGATTGTGTTTAGGTTTGCCAAGCAGATCAGTCGAAATGAATGGTTCAAGGGGTTAGGGACTCTAAGATTCTTCCAAAATTGATTTACTGCTCAGAATCTCAGAAATGGCATATTGACGGATTGTGTTCGGGAAGATTTCTCAAATAGTTTGAATTCAAAGTTTCGTGCAAGGCGGCATATTTTTAATGCAACATTTTATTAGTATTAATACTCAAATAGTTTTATTGTTTAAGTCTATCATCATTTACTTATTATTTCATAATTTTTGATTTAACATTTATTTATTTTATTATTTACATCATTCATTTACTTATTTTATTATGTATTTATAAATAGTATTATTTTAGACATCTACATTTATTTATTTTATTATTTACATAAATATTGTAATATTCTTACAGGCATCTAAGTACTCACAAATTTTCTAATGCACTATTCTCCCCCTTCGTAGGCATTGCTGTGCAGACCATTCTTACCATTCCGGTGAGCCCACAGATTCCCACCAGCGAACAGTTTCTACCCAACGCATTCGGCGCTTTTGCCAGCTATCAGCAGCAACAGCAGCAGCAACAGCAACAACAACATCAACAGCAGCAGCAGCAGCAGCAACGCGAACAACAACGCGAACTTTTGGCTCCTCCGCTGGCTGCGCTGCAGCATGGGCCAGCCTTGCCGCAATTGGCGCAGACACCCACGAATTTACTGAAGCCTAATCTCTTTTCCACGGGCGTGCAGCAGTTGCTGACGGCGCTGCATCCGGAGCTATTTGCAGCCGCTGCCGCCAATCACCAGCAGCAGCAGCGCGAACGGGAACGCGAGCAGCAGCAGCAACAATTGGCGGCAGCAGCAGCCGCCGCAGCCGCGGCGAGCCACTTGCCACATGCCCACCTGGCCGCTGACATGCGTCGCTCCGCGGAGCGGACACCGCCCTCTGGCTCACCCACTGTGGGCAGTCCGGCGCTGCCGACGAAACAACCACCACCACCGCCACCGCCGGCTGCGGCGTTCTTGCTGCAACAGCAGCTGCACATCAAGCCTGAGACGCAAACGCACCTGCATCATCATCATCATCTGCACGGCACGACGACGGCAGCGTCAGCGGCACATCCACAGATAAGCTTGCGGCATCCGGATGAGCTGACGGCTCCGCAGCTGGAACTGAAGCCGCTGGAGCTGAACAGCAGCAGCAGCGTCTCGCCGCCCTCGTTGCCGCCTTCAGCTGCCCTGGCGCGACATCATTTTGGGCACAATTTGCGCAGTGCGGCAGGCTCTTCGCCCAAGCACAGTCCAGGACGCGGCTCCTCCGGGGCAACAGGCATGAATCTCAGCCAGCACCATGAACGGCTCGATCGACGCTCGCACACGCCCACTGCGACGGCCACGAGGACAAGCTCCGGCCTAAGCACATCCAGCGCTGCGTCGGTGCATCATTTGCCGCATGAGCGAGGAGCGGGCAATCTGCTCAGTGGACGCCTGACGCCCACTGTGTCCACTCCAACCGCCATCTGCAGCAGCAGCAATGAAAGAGGCTACTCATCTCCACTGTTCCGCTCACACTCGCCGCCCGTGCACGCCTTGAACATGGGCAGCTCGCCGCGACTGGAGCGCGACTATCTGGGCAATGGACCAAGTTTGAGCGGTGGCTCCAGCGGAGCCTCAGCCGCGGCCACCAACTGCACAGCGACGGCAACGGCGTCCAGCTCCACGGGCAGCGTACTTAGCAGCATCAATAGGTAAACTTTTGGCAGGAGTTGCACTTTGAATGGATTATCTAAGCGCCTGCCGTCTTCTCCTCCCCTAGACTAAACGCCTCCAACGGCGAGCTAACCATCACCAAATCTTTGGGCCCGCCGACGGCTACTGCCACGCGTGCCTCATCCGCCTCACCGCGGGACGATTCACCCTTGCCAGGGCCATCCACATCAGGGGTTTCTCTAATGCAGCCTTTGAAGCTGAGCCCCTCTTCGCGCAGCGAGCCGCCACATCTGTCGCCCAATGGGAACGACAATGACAACGACCTGCTTATGGATTCACCGAGTGAGTAAAGATCGACTCTTTTTCCATATTTTTGCTATAAGATTAGTTAACTTTTAGCTGCCTGTCGACATAAAACTAAATATTCAGCGCGTTATTATTTAAGTGCCTGATGCTTCTATCAATTTATTTTATTGATTTTTGTGCAATGAAGTTTCCAGTTCCAAAAAAGGCTTCACATATTTCGTGAAACTCTTTAAATCGTTTTCAAGTCTAGTTAGTAAATAAATGAAGCATAAAAATTATATTTATTCTATACAATTGTCATCTCCAGTAGATATTTTGGCTTAAGGCAGACACCTGGAGAATATTTCCAATGCATCAATCAAATATAAAGAAAGATAAAGTCACGAATATAGATGATTCAAGTTCAAGAGTTATTTGCAATTTTAAACTATTTATTTAGTTATAACTACTAAGAATCTTAGAGTTTAAAGCTGACTGTAAGCCCTAAGGGGAAATCTAGAGCCCGATGCTGGTCATGGTTGCAAATTCAACAAAAATGGTCATTGGTTAAGATCAAGGTTCAAGCTAATGCAATGTCTTTGGTTTTCGTACTTGAACCTGGTTTCCTACAATGTTTTGGTTCAAACAATTTTACAAATAGAAAGAGTTTATTTAGGAATTACACTCTCTCATAACTAGTTTGTTTATTTAAAAAACCAGATCTTTTGCATTTTAATGGATTTGAATTAAGGTTAAGAGTCAAGTTAAGGGCCTCTGGTGAAAGTCTGGAGAGTGTTTAGTTCTCTTTTGTATATACATTTTATTAGTTTGCTAATAATCTCCCGACTCATTCATGCCAGCTAATCGCAGCAACTTGGGGAAACGCCTTCTGACAGGCTGTTGCTTCAGATTTGTTTCTTATTCCCCCGGACTTGTTACCGACGCGTGACAGGTTCAACTCTGCTGCTAATTTGGCTAACACTTTCGGCTGACATCTTTCAACTTTTGGCAACGCGTTGCAAAATCTTTGGCTAGAGTTTTGTGCGGCGCTCGTCAAGCAGCTCGCGGCTGCATCAATTATGGACCATCTTCTGGGAAGTCGTGTAAATGCACAGCGAAACTTTTGCACACATGCGACGCGGTCCGGGCCAGAACTAGCTGCTCGATAAGGCCTGTTGCTGCGCCCCCTTCCTCCACCGCTGTAAACTTGGGGCGCATTTTCTTTTAGAAATTATATAAAATCCTGTTAACTTGTTAGGGCTTGTTTTCATTTAAAACGCAGTCAAAGTTTTATTTCTGTTGCTGCTCTCGAATTGCGTTAATTAATGTTGAAAAAGTTGCCGAAAATGACTAACTCCTTATAAGTGTGTGTGTGCGTTTGTGTGTGTGTGTGTGTGTGTGTGTGTGTATTTATATCACTCATACGCCACGCTGCACACGACCTTTTGGGGCTAGCTCTTAAAATATCAAATCATCAGGGAACTGCATCAATTCAACATTATCAACAAGCAGCAAAAGCAGCAACTCCAATTGAGCTTTTCACCTGGCACTCGAATTTCATGCACCCTAATCCCAGCTCTGTGCTCATTGAGCATTACATGATGAGTGTGTGTGTCTCTCTGTGTGTTTGTGTGCGTGTGTATTTCTGAGTCTTCAAAATGCTGACTAATTGTGTAAGCAAATATTTATGTTTTCTGTTGGGTTCTTTTTTGTTCTATTTTGGATAGATAACAAATCCTTTTTCGAACCTTTTTTAAATAATTTTGCGAGATTTATTTATTTCATTTTATTTTAATTTAAAATATATTGAAGAGGTAAAAGCGAAAAAGGCTTGACGAAGTTTTTGAGAATTAAGATTTTATTTATGCAAATTAACCAATTTTTCAAGTTAAATAAACTAAAGCTTTCTTAAACGTAAGCACTCCTTAATTTTTGGAGCCCGTGTCAATTAATGTTCCGCTCGCTAGCAAAAACCAATGTAGTATGTATGCGTGCATGTGTACGTTGTGGTAGCAGCTCGCTAAGACCTTAATTGAAACTTTGGATGCATTAAAAATGCAATCAGCACAACAAGAAGGCAAAGCCAAGCCCCAGGCAGAGCCAAAGGCAGAGCAAAGGCATCAGCTAAACCATCAGCTAACAGGTTTAGTACCACGTAGCGTACGTAGTCTCAATTGCATTGGGGGATCGTTTGCTGCTGCTTCTTTGGCCACTTGCGACTTCGTACTTGATGGCAGCTCTCTAGTGTCGCATCGCATACAAATTGCAGACAATATGCAGCTTAATTACTACTAATTGATGCATACAAAAACTTAAGATGTTTTCGTATTTAATGACATATTTCACTTCTCGAAGCCAAACAAACAACAAAGACGGCGACGACAGCAGCCCAAGTTATGGCTTGGCAAGGATTCAGGCAAGGATAACACTGGGGCTGGCTCTTGCTCGGGGTCTGGGTCTGGGTCTGGGTGTGGGGAGGCGCATCTTAATTACCGCTAAAGCTGGGCTGCAGTTACAGTCAAGTGAATGGCTTTGGTTTGGCTTGCTGCCACGCCGCCTGCTGATGGTGTCCTCTGTCTTCTGTCCTCGTCCTCGTCCTCGTCCTCGTCCTCGTTCTCGTCGTCGTCTCCTTGTTGTCGCTTGCATATCATTAATAAATAAATCAAATTTCTGTGCGTATAGTTTGGCGCAGCAACAACAGCTGCTAACAAATTAGGCATATAAAGGCAATAAGTTTTGCCCGCCTTGCCTAATAGACAAGCATAACAAGAGCTAAGTGACAGGGCAATAAAAACAAAAACAACAACATCCGCATCCAAGTTCCTTCCCGGGAAATATGGCAAATGAGTTTTATCCATTTACCTGCGACACTCTAATAATATTTCGCAATTACCGCAATTAACTGTAATTAAGAGCCGCGACTCGGAGGCAATTTATGTTGTCATTTCGCATTGGCAGTTATTACCTTGAACCGGGCTCGTTAAGAGACTGTCCGTGAGGCAGACGACGAGTTAAACTGTTTGACAGTCGGTTCGACTAACAGGCCGCCATTTTAGCTTAGCATTTAAGTAACGTTAGCAAAGTAACGGTCGCTTATCTCGCCCTCTTGACTTTAACCCTTCAACTGAACGCTATTTTGCAGATGAACCCACCATCAATCAGGCCACCACCAATGTGGTCGATGGCATTGACCTGGATGAGATCAAGGAGTTCGCCAAGGCATTCAAGTTGAGGCGCCTCTCGCTGGGCCTCACCCAGACCCAGGTGGGGCAGGCTCTATCGGTAACCGAGGGACCCGCGTACAGCCAGAGTGCCATTTGCAGGTGAGCTATGAATAGAGGACACGTTACATACGTATCTAATGTACAAATTATCTTAAAATATATTTATTTTGTTTATAAAAGGAGATATACATTAAAGTCAAGTCTGTTAGCAAAAAATAATAAATAGCTTAAAAGCATTTTAGATTAAATTACGAAAGAATTTTAATTCTGTTTGATAGTATTCAAGCACGTTCGAGTATTAGCTGGTCAATCAATCGAATTTTTTATTACACTCAGAGCAAAATCTATTAAATACAACTTAACATCAAATTATTATGTGAGCCTTAAGTGTTAAGTATTTAGTGATATACAAACTGTAAAAGCTTTACAATAGTCTTTCTTTATATAAAATAATGTATTTATTATTTACCAAATTTGTAAATAAAGTTTACTTAAAATTATTTAAACTTGAGGACAAAAAGAGCCTAGGAAATCCATTGAGTAAATACATTTTTATAATTTATCAAAAAAACTGAAAATTTGCATTGTATCGAAACAAATTGAAAACGCTTTAGTTTTAATTAGTTTTATAATATTTCTGGAACCATTTTTAGAGTGCCAGGACATTTTGAACAAGCTATTAAAAGTAAATATATATACACAAATATATATATATTTATATATACATATATTGTATGTATTAGTATTAATATATCGAACATAATGCTTAATTAGTTAATTATTTAAACAAGTGACAACAAAAATAATGCGAAATTTATTTTATTTATTTTATTTGTTTATTTTGACATCGCCAAATCGCCAACCGTCTCTCCTTCTTCACACTACCGTTTCACAACTCGCTGTCAACCGACTGTCTAAACCCCACGTCAACCGTTAACCGTCAAACGCCAAATGTCAAATGTCAAATGGCAAATACCAATATGCAAGCAGTGCACTCGCTGCGCAGATGTATGCCGCTCAACTGTCGACGCAACAACAGAACATGTATGTGTGTGTGCATCAGTGTGTGCATCTGTGTGTGCATCTGTGTGTGCATCTGTGTGTGTGTGTGTGAGTGCGTGAAAGAAACTTAACTAAAGTGCAAGAGCTCATTTTGTTTACATTTTCTTTTTGTATTTATATGTTATATAAGTATGCGCTTTTCCAACACCATCTAATCAAATTGGCCAGGGCATTGCCAATGAGCAATTTTAGCAGCTTTCAACAACAAATTTTGTATGTTTTTTGTAAAGCCAAAAGAAAGATAAAGTATGCTACTTGACAATGTCCTGGCACTTTAGTTACGTTTCTCTTACGTTAATCCAATTAGCGCATACAGACATTCGGTGTGTTACTAAGATACTCTATCTATATACCATGTAGGTTCGAGAAACTCGACATCACACCAAAGAGTGCACAGAAAATCAAGCCCGTCTTGGAGCGCTGGATGAAGGAGGCCGAAGAGAGGTGAGAGTATGGAGGCAGTTCCACGCAACGTCTAACCATACAATGGGCAGCCCAACTAAACTATATCTATCTCTATATACTCCCCGAAGCAGTCACTGGAATCGCTACAAGTCCGGCCAGAACCATCTGACAGACTACATTGGCGTGGAGCCCTCGAAGAAGCGCAAGCGTCGCACCTCGTTCACACCTCAGGCACTGGAGCTGCTGAACGCGCACTTTGAGCGCAATACGCATCCATCGGGTGAGTGGTAACTTTCAGTTGACCAAAACGAATAGCCAACATTTGGACTTGCCCTTAATGCAAATTCTATTCTCATTATGGCTTAGGCACCGAAATAACTGGCCTGGCCCATCAGCTGGGCTACGAACGCGAAGTGATTCGCATTTGGTTCTGCAACAAGCGGCAGGCCCTGAAGAACACTGTGCGCATGATGTCCAAGGGCATGGTCTAGTAGGGCGTGTACATATAGAGGCCTGCTATATACTGTATATAGTTTGTGTGTATTTTGTGATAGTTTTAAACACTTAGCGTTTAGTTTCTAGGCCATGTAAAGTAAAAGCTGTGTCATAGCATTTACAGTAAATGTCAGCAAATGTCAAACGCCCCCTTCCCCCCACACTCCACACACCACACTCCACCACACTCAACAAAATTAAATACAACCATGTACTATTTATGACTAACATTATGGACTAACATTTATCATATCCGAAAAAGTCTAAAAGTAGTCTAAAGTCTCAAGTCTACAGGCGCAGACCTTTGCGGATTTTAGGGCCTATTTTATGATATTGATGTGCCATTCCAAAAATTAAAATACAAAACAAAAAATAATTATATATATATATATATATAAATGGGATAGTATATGTATAACAAATTCACAACTAGAGATTTACATTTATCAATTTGTATGGCTAAGCGCAAAACCAAAATGTCAAAAAAAAAGAAGAAGAAGAAGAAGCAAAATGACACAAGTAAACAAATTCTTTATAAATCGTAAGCTCTTTGATTTAAAAAATAATTGCATTTAATGCGTTGGCTATATTAATATAACGTGTATACTAAAGTGTATTTTATTTAAACAATTTATAAACAAATTATAAACTCTAGCAATTAACGATTCTCATTTGGCCATCAAACCCCTCTAGCCCATAAACAAGCAACCCACTAAAATGTATGGCAGCGCACTAAAAATCTAGAATAAGCAAATTTATGTAGCAATTGTCGACAGCCCAGAACAAAAAATTAAATACAAGAACAAACGTATTTCAATTGCAAAATTCAAATGGTACACAAGAACAAACAAAATCATGAAAAACTGAAAACAAAAAAAAATATTTAAATAATTGTAATAAAAAACCAACATAATTAAAAATATGAATCTTCTTTGCGTTTTATTTTTAAAATAGATTGCTAATAGATTTGAATGAACAAATGTTTTAAGAACCGAACCAATTTTTGCTAGAATTGTGTAATTTTATATGAGCTATTAGAAGTAGTAACTATAACCTTATCCCAATCCTTTCGCTTGGTAAAGTTCATCACTGATCGATTCCAGCGCATATTAAAAAATGCATACTTTTTAATCGATTCATACGCCTTTGCGAAACTCCCATTGTTATATATTTTTGTTTTGCAAATTACTGAATTATATTAATTTTGAATAAAGACAGATTTCCATTTGCAAACGTATACATTTAATAAAAAACATTGAAGTAAAAACTTAAAAAATAGTTGTTTATTACTAATTACATTGTTCCTAATTGCTCTTAGTGTAGTCTGGCAATATCACATCAATTAAGATTAACATGGCAGAGTGAATCAATCGCTTAACATGGCTTCCAAGTTCTTTTGTTTTTGCCACACGCGATACTCTATCAGACCATATCTGTAAATAATATAGGGATTTTAAAAATGACATTACGTGGGTCTATTCAAAAAGTAAAACTCACCCCACGCAGCCCACAAGCATGGCGCACATCAGAATTATCAGTTTAGTGGACGTGCACAGCTGTGAGCTGATGACGTAGCCAATTACCGAACCGGTGCTCTCCCATAAACGAAAGTTGCTGTACGCGGCAATCAGGTGGTTGGGAAACAGAATGCCATAAAACGCTGTAAAGAAACGTTAGCAGCGCTGAGCAAAAGTTAACGAAAGCTCTGGCACTTACCATTGACAACAACCAGCCAGACGCCATCGCAGATACCCCAAATGGCCGCAAAGGCGCAGTAGGTCAGATAATCACCCTCGCGCGCCTCCCAGCTGTACATGTAGGCCAGCAGGCAGAGATTTAACACCGCACAGATGGCCGCCAGTGTGACGCGTCCGATGCGCTCCACCAAGGCGCCGGCAATGCCAGCGGCAATCGCATTGGCAATGCCAAAGCATATCATTGCGAATCCAATTTTGGAAATGCCCCATCCACAGGCCACAAACGACTATGGTGAATAAGAGGCAGGGAATTTAGTTGGGTTGCGCACCCGGCTAAGCTCTAAAGCTCACTTACCCGTGTAAAGTCCACGGCCAGGAATGCCTCCTCCAGGCCAATGAACATGGTAATGGGCAGCATGAGTATCTGGCGGCGTTTGCGCAGCAGATTGATTGTCACCGTCAACAGCCTCAGGCCAGAGATGCCATCGCCAGTGTCGCCGCGCTTAACGCCGTAGCTGAAAGTTGCGGAAGATGATATTTTATTCGTAAGATACAAATGCAAGTCAGATACATTTATAAATCAGAAAGTATTCCAATCTTACCGCTTCAGCGAGCTAACGCCAAAGATCATCATGACCACAGCGCCGGCCATGCACGTGAGGAATATGGAGTTGAGCAGCTGAATTTGTTCGGGCGCGGGTGGCACCAGATTGGGATTCACCTCGGCACCAATGCCGGGGCAAAAGCGGGCGCCGCACAGCTCGCCCACGCGACTAATGCTCGCCTCCAGCGGCTCCATTTCCAGGCTCTCGTTTGCTGGCGTTGTCGCTGCACCAGCGCTGAGTGTGAGCACCGAGGAGGATATGAGATTGCCCCAGACCTGGGCCATTTGGTAGAATATGAAGAACAGGCCAAAGAACTTAACCGTGTTCACATCCTTGCGAGAGCTGCTGCCGCGCACCTGCGTCAGTGCCTCGGAGACGGTGGACAGATATGTGCACTTGGAGCACCACAGCGGACCACCGCCAAAGCCCACCATCAAGGCGGCCGGGATGAGCGTTTCGAAGCGCGGATAGAACTGGGCGGCTATATAGGGCATGTAGGCGAACAGGGCCAGGGCCATGGTCAGCCGGCAGCCGAACCAACTGTTGATTAGAGTAAGTGGTAAAGCTTTAGTGTGTTGTCCATTTGTTTTGGCCCAGTGGGCCAGCCAGGCAGGAAGTGAACAGCCAAGCAGCTGCCCCAAGGACGGCCATAAATCTAAATAAATCGAGTTAACTGATTAAAGTTGCCACGGCCAGCATTTTCGGGCCGTCGGCTGGCGCGCGTGCCTGGAATAAGTCAAACGGGTCGGAAAAATGTGTCGAAACATGTGCGGGAGGGCAGCTACAAACGTTTTCTATAAATTAGCGATTTGTTTAAATGTCAGCCAAAACAAAATGGTCGCCAGCCAAGGGGCGAAACGGCGAAAGGATGCAAAGACAGGCAACAAGGGCAAAGAGAACGCTCGGAAAGGCTCTGACATATTGGCCACGCCCCCAACTCCCAAGCTCCTTCCGTTGACATTTAGCAGTCAAGCGCTTTGGGACGCAGCCAAAGTATTAACTGCTGACTGCTGACTGTTGACTGCTTTTCTGACTGTAGCATCTGCATAAAATTGCCATAAAAGCGCCACGCAATTGCCAAACATTTATGGCAATGCCGAAAATTTATGTCTAAGCACCACTCCAGCCCTGGCGTATGGAAGCAATTATTTGACAATGAGACTGTCTTTCAGATTTGAAATAAAACTGTTGGGATTTTTAAAGCTTTAGCTCATAAATGTAAAATGGGGTTAAAAACCGTTCGAATATGAGTGCTGCTGATAGTCTTGTTAGATCTGTAGATAAGACACCCTTCTATGCGATTCTCATCGATTCAAGGAAAAACTAAACAGCTCTGTGTCACTCGCGCTGTCTGCCTCCCTGTTACTTTATGGCTGTTTCATTTAAGTATGATAATATATCTAATGAGGGGGACTTATTTGAATGCAAGTGTCTAGTAATTTGGCCTTTTGGTTTTTATAGAGTACATTTTTGAAGGAACTTGCCTTCTAGTGCAATGGGTATATAGAATCAACAGATGCATTATCATATTTAGTCATTTTAAATGTTTGCATAAAGCCCACAGTTGCGAAAAACAATCGATGCAGAGATCGATATTCTCGATAATTAGGCCGTTTGGCAACACTATAATATGCAGATAGTTATGGAAAATGGCATAGAATTCTATATTATATATGTACACAAAGTGCTTGGTCCTTGTTTGTATCTTTAATAGGTTCATCTATCTCTCATTATGCTATTTAATTATTACGAACCTATTTTTAAACTACTCCCGGACTAGTCTAAAGCGGTCCGTACCCGTGATTTGTCTGTAATTGCTCACGCATTTTATGGAGTCAATTAGTGAGCGGGGTTTTTGCGATCCACTCATGCGTTAAATGCGGCATAGTTACTCACCTAATCACCGTCATGGGTAAAAATATGTTGGACAGTATGAGAGAGCCATAGATGACGGCAAGCGTTGTAGTGCCCAGCGCCTTGTCCGCATTCACTGAGCTCTGCAGATTCGATGTGCCGTGAAAGGCCGTGAAGTGTATCATAAATGCCAGGCCAATGACAACAACATTTTTGGTTATAATAAACCGCTCTCGTGGCTCATACTGTCGCTGGCTCGGCTTGCTGTCACCATTTGTGCTGCTGGCGGCAACAACGGCCGCGCCAGAGTTGCCATTCGCATGTGCGATGCTCGTGTCCAGTGCCAGCTCCTCGTTGTGTGCGTCCGATGTGTCTTTCGGGTAGACCATGTTTTACAAATTGGTTTTCTATAATATAGTTTAAAGATAAAAACTCTTTTATTTATCTTTTACAATGATTATATATTTGTTTATTATATTAGGTTTATATTATAAAAAGGTTTCAAAATAATGTTTAATGTTCTCCCATAACGCTTATATATTCTTATTCATAACGACAAGCTGAGTCCATCTGTTCGTATAAATGAACGCTTCTATCTTTAACTAAAACGACAAGCGACTTCTAATTTGAAATATATATTTCGTTTGCAAGACATAGGCAAAGTTAATTTTGATTTTCGATAGCTTCCTCCATTGTGATAAACGATAAGTATCAAATTTTGATCTGAGAGATCGGAATCATTTTAAGGCCCTCTAGAGTTTTATAAGCAACAATTCCACTGGAAAATATCTTAAAGTTTAGGAAGAGTTTGTGGGATTGATTAAAACATGTGATCTAAATAAAGTCTAAAAATTATTGAATTCATCTTTAAATTTTAAGCTGAATTTGTCAATTTTTTCTTCGCTCGTTGCTTACGATATGGTATTCAAAATGGAATCCCCTGTTTCAGCCAATTGATAGCTATTTATTGCGCTCTAAGGAATCTATTATCTCTTTGTTTTTATTCAAAAGCGCACAACTTGAAAGCTAGACACATTTCCAATGAAGAGACCAACGACAACAGACACTAAACCGCAAAACACTTGTCGGCACCGGCTTGCCATACCCTTACCCCAGCTGCACGAAGGGTATATTAGCTGACGTGTGTGTTTTGTAGCAGTTAGCAGTAGCGTTAGTTAAGTAGGTATACACAGGTTCTCAATAAATCCTGTTCCTGTGCATCCTCGCAACTTGTCAAGCTCCAGAGTCGTGCGCTGTGATACATGATACAGGAAGGGCCTTGGGGTGGGGGTATATCATAGTCAATCGCTTGTCTGCAGCATTGGCGCTTGTTTGGCAATAACTCTGCAGGCGTTACGCCCCCCTGAATGAGAGTGATATAAATTCTTACGTCCTTGCCAGGACCCGGCAGGCAGCCCGGCTGCCTCGGCTTGGCTTGGCTACGTTTCAGTATCAAGGACGAAGTCTGCGACTGCCGCCTCTAATCCTTTAGGCAGCGCCACAGCACGTAGCCCAGGCTTCAGCGTAAATTTATGCCTGTCTACGCCCACACACTGAAGGGAAGCCCAACACACACCCACACACACGCATACAGAAAGAGAAGCAGCCTGCCGGAGTCTGTTTGGCCAAGACTGAAAATTCGGCTCGACTTGTTTGATTTCGCGATGCCAACGACACTTTTGTGCAAATTTAGCACCTTTGATAAAGTTAAAGGTTTGTTTGCCAGCCGCTGAGTGGCTTCCCACGCGGCCGTAAAGTGTGTTG